AATAAGACACAGTCAGTAGTACATCATCAAAGCAAAACCTTATTGTCATGATTAATAAAGAACTTCTTTGTATTTGGGTATCCACAGCACAACCCAATATTTTGCAACCTAACGATGTTAAACAACAATATTTTGGCTTTGTTGTGTCGATTTAATATACTTAGAAAAGTATCATAATCAACTGAAAAGCCATTTGTTAGCAGATTTGGATATATGTCTTACAATAAGAAATATACAGAGCTATGAAATGTTGACTATTAAAATCTACATCACACAAAAATGGAACTCAGATCAGGTTGCTTATTTATTGTTATAGGTTTTGAATGATTCCTACATTACTAACTTGAGGCTCTAAAGGGCCCGTGTCGCTCACCTAGGTCAATATGCATCTTCAACAATCTACAATCTTCTAGATTGGAATATAATTTATGACTAAAATCTTTTTTTTTATTGATCTTGTATTGCTAATCGTTTTCCTGATGACAGTTTTTCTCAATCTTCTTATTGTTTTGTCCAAAGCACAAGAATGGTAAAACTCGTCATTTACGGGCATATACTACAAAAAATTAACAAGAAGATAACTAACAATTTTATCTATGCTGACCTATTTTCATATCTACTTCGTTGATCATAAAATAGAGAATAAAAACGGAATGCGTCAAAGAGACAACAACCCGACCAAAGAGCAGAAAACAGCTTAAGGCCAACAATGGGTCTTCAACACAGCGAGAAAATCCCGCACCCGGAGGCGGGCTTCAGCTGGCCCCTAAACAATAATGTATACTAGTTCAGCTAATGGACGGCACACTAAACTCACGCTTAACGGGGTTAAAGATGTGTTGTGAGATCTCAACCCTCCCCCTATACCTCCAGTCAATGTGGGATAAACAAACACACACCAATACGTACAGTAAAATTCAGTTCAAAAGAAGTCCGAGTCCGATGTTAGAATATGTAACAGAAGAAAGTAAATAAAATGACAATACTCAACATAAATTAACAAACGACTACTGGCAGTTACTGGCATGCCAGCTCCAGGCCTCAATTAAACTGATTGAAAGATTATGTCTTCATCATATGAAAATCAAGCAGAATCCCTCTCGTTAGGGGTTTAGTATCATACCATCATAAAATATACGAGAACAACATACCCGTATCATGCCAACAACTGGTTTTAGAATAAATGTGTTTATTTTCGATGCAAAGATCATATGAGTGAATCAATATTAATTCCAAAAAATGCCATCTTTAATGACCTGACAACAGTATCATAACTATATCCCTTCTTAATATGTCTGTTTAAAGATTTGGTTAGCTTTTGAGGTGAATGACAACAGTTTTGTGCTTTGTTTAGAATATGATCATAAAAGATGGGATGTGAAATACCTGAACGTATAAGATGTCTGCACGTTGATTTATATTTACGAATGATGTCCTTGTACCGATGATAAAATTTAGTAAAGGTTTTGATAAGTTTGTGTTATCGAAAACCCAGGTGTAATACTAGTAATTTCTCAATTATACAGAGATTTCTTTCGTTAATATCAAATACGTTGTTACATACACAGGCAAATCGAACAAGTTGAGATATATAAACCCCATGCCAAGGGAACGTCACCATCTAAAAATGGATAATTAACAATACGAAATGAAAAATCATCTCTTTTATCGTAAATTTTAGTATTAAGCTTTCCGTTAAAAATATAGATATCAAGATCCAGGAAAGGGCAGTGTTCATTGTTAGTATTAGCTTTATTCAAAGTCAGTTCAGCAGAACAAATCTCTTTAGTGTGCATACTGAAGTCGTCATTATTGAGAGCCAATATATCATCCAAATATCTAAAAGTATTATTAAAATTGTGTATCAGATGCTGTTTCGATGGGTATTTGTTTTTATGTTTCTATCTATCTATCTATTATAGTTTTCACGATGAAAGGCAAAATCGCAAAAAAAGTTAATGGTAAAAAATGTCATTTAAGGGCACTAACTTCTTAATAAATTTTGAGTTGACAATTTCAGCAATATCGACTTATTAATTTGTAGATCTTGCCATGTAGATCCTTTTTAGTATTTAAAGTTTCTCTCTATCTATTATCGGTAAAAAAAAATAGGCAATAGCACAAAAAATTGCTTAAACTCGTCATTTAAGGACAACTAAGGAGTTCTGCACGTTGACATGATTATAGATCTCGTCTTACTGATCATCTTTGCTTTTTAAAGTTTTTATTCACCTGTTATTGCTTTCAAGATAATAGGCAAAAACGTAAAAATCGGTTAAAATCATCATTAATAGGAATAAAACCCCTAATTCATAGCCCCAATGCTTTCTATGTTAAAAACTCAATTTCAAACATTCATAGCTATTTAGTCTTAATAAGTTCAAATAAAGTGACAATTATTCCATGTCAAACTACTTGTAAAAAAATCAACATACCTTTAATTGCATACTAGAGCTCACTGGTTCCCGGAAGTTTGGTAGCACAAAACAGGTACTTCTGATCAGAACAACAGATATGCCCTCCTATTCAAATTTCATATATTTTTAATTACTTAATAGAAACTTTCAACAATGGTTCTACAGTGATCCCAAGTCCTTAAGCTTTCATTTGGTACCAACATTATCCAAATATTTTACTTATTGACAAAGTTACAGCTATGCCTCGAACTATTTGTTTAAAATATGTACTACTTTCTTGTATGATCTTTCTGATTCTGAGTGGTTCTACATCTGAAGGGCAATAACTACAGTAAGGAATGGACTGACTATTTAGGCCATGTTGACTTAAGGTTATTATCCGTATAATATTGTAGTTTAAATCAGGCCATTGGTTTTCTCTTTCAAACTTGTTTTCACATTTTGCCATAAGAAAGGCATCTCATTTAAAAATATAAATTTCCAAAATACAAATGAAAATTGGCCTATTGGATTATTAAGTTGATCTATTACACAAGTGTTATTATGATATTGACTTGATATTAAGCAGCAATTTAAATTTTAATAAACTTGGGTAATACATAAAAGTTGTATCGGTTACGTAATAACGGTAACTCTTTGTCATAACAATAACTTATAAGCAAAGGGAGTTAACTGTTATTGCTCTAACTTGACTATCATGCATTTCTTTTTTGTAAGCTCATTCAATAATCTCCATAAAAGCTTCATATATGAGTTGCATCTGATATTTTATAATACATTTTATTATATTTTTCCTGTACTTAATGCTATATATTATAAAATTGTGTATTTTACTTTTTAGTTTTGATAATGACATTAATTTCTCAAATATAACACAAACTGTAGCCAAAAAGGGAAGTAATTTCTCCGCCTTTAAAACAAGAGGCTCTTAAGAACCTGTGTTGCTCACCTAGGTCTATGTACATATTCAACAAAGGACACTCTCATTGTAGACAAGAATTCTCTTTTATGTTGGTCTTGTTTTGCTGAACATTTTGTCTGTTAAGTTTCTATCTTTTTTACTTTTGCTCAAAACACAAAAGAGGGTAAAAAAATCCTTATTTCAGGATAATCACTCCAATAAAGAGTGGCAGTCTACTAACTATATTTGCAAAATTTAACTTGTTTGTAGATGTTGCCTTGCTGATCATTTTTGTTATTTAAAGTTTCTATTTATGTATTATAATTTTTATCATGTAAGGCAAAACGCAAAAAAATTGGTAAATATTGACATTAAAGGGCAATAACTCCAATAAGGAGTCGTCAGACAATTCCTCCATATTTGTCTTATTTGTAGATCTTGTCTTGCTGATCATTTTTGCTTATTTAAGTTTCTATCTATCTATTATAGTTTTTAAGATATAAGGCAAAAACGCAAAAAATGGTAAAAAATGGTTTCAAAGGGCAACAACTCTAATCATGAGACCTATTTGTAGATCTTGTCTTGCTGATCATTTTTGCAATTTAAAGTTTCTCTGTATCTATTATAGTTTTCAAGATAATAGGCAAAAATGGAAAAAAAATGGTAAAATTTGTCATTTAAGGGCAATAACTCGTATTAGTCCACAAACAGTTTGATGTAACTAGGCAATTGGTAGAGCTCAACATACTGAACATTTTTGCACCTGTCAGATTTTCTCTATTACAGTTTTTTAAATATTAGACAAAACTTGCATTTTACCTCCTATGTTCTATTTTTAGCCATGTCGGCCATCCTGGTTGGCAGCGGGGTCATCAGACACATTTTTGAAACTACATACCCTAATGATGATTGTGGCCAAGTCTGACTTAATTTGGTTCAGTAGTTTCAGAGGAGAAAATTTTTGTAAAAGTTAACGGATTATGATAGACGCCAAGTGATGTGAAAAGCTCACCTGGCCCTGTGGGCAAGGTAAGCTAAAAACTACCCATTGGTTGGGTCTGGGTTTTTTTCATGCGAACAAATTTTACATTATTTGTTTTGATATATATATTTTGATAAACAGTTGAATGGTTCATAGAGGTTAAAGCTTTGTTAAGCAATAATTGCAAAATATTCTTTTCTCACGTGACTAAGAAAACTAATGACATGCTACTACTAGTCTTTTTAGTGTTTCCTGTATAATTTTTATCAATATTTTGCACACAAAAATATCCTTATATGAAGCTTATTAACCATCTATGTGTTTTCCTTGCACACATTACCTTCCTAAAAGATGCTTTGTCAACAACTTGTGAAGCAACCTAATGCAAAAAGATTATGGTCAGAAATTGGAGCAGGTTTATAAGCTCCCATTATTTTCCCCTTGCAGTAATTGACATAAGGGGGCCGTTCATTGCTTAATATATGGTATGGGAGGCAGTACATTGACTTATGATTGTTCAATCCTTTAGTCTATGGATAGTCATCTCACTGGAAATCATACTTATCTCAATATTTTTTAATGAGGGTCACATTCAACTAGCAAAAGACATGATGTAGTGGCAAAAGTAAATATCTGGTTAAGGTGAAGTGAATCTAGATTGATTTATTGTTGATTATGTGAATAGAGAGGAATACAATGCTTTGAAAAAAATATTTATTTACTATCCACAAAAGCATATAGGAATAAGCTGGACGGACTTGCTTACTTACAAAAGTTAAAACAATGTAATAAAATATTCCATAATTTCACAACTTTTCTGAATAAATAACTCAAAATGAAATTTACTTTCATATTCATATAATCTTAGTTCTATTTTCCTCATGATTAAAAAGTATAAAAATATATTTTATTTTTCAATGAATATAATAACTCATTTTTTTATAGTTCCCTTAAAAATATAACAGATTTAATATAACGAAAGATATACATAATCACACATCATGTCGTAACTAATGCAGCTGCAGAATAACAACAAATCTACTACGAACATCAACAACAATATTTCTACAGATATGTATCTTAGAGCAAACATTATATCAGACTTAAAATGATAAAGTCTTCATTTCAAATCTTTAGTGTATGTCATTTTCTCTTTCACAATAAAATCATACTTCATCTCAAAGAACATTTCAGTTTTACATTCATTACCATTGCACATCATTTGAACAAAAAGGGATTTCAGATTTGATTACATAAAAACAGAGCTTCAAAATTGACACAGGAAATCATCTTTCATTTTATATAAATTTTCCAGTTGGTCACCTTGTAAAAACATTTACTTTTTCCATGTAAAAAATTTCTAATGTTCTGTCATTGCCTAAAATGTTTAGTTTTGTACAAAAAATGTAATGTCTGAGTTGTCATATCCTGTCACACAGAAGCCACGCCCACCTTTCTGTATAAACTGTCCTCCTACTAATTGTAAATCTGTTACAGACTCACTATATTTATATTCAATCTGAAATTGGAACAAAGAAAGTTAACATGAGATTACATAATATTTGTTATTCAAATAAATGTGATCAATATCATGATTTATTTGTTATCATAAGTAGATAAATGAAATCTATACAACTATCAAAATGTATAACTAAAACTCAGTTTTTTAAAGATATAACCACAATCCGTTTTCTTTTATGTTCTGAGCAAAATTATTAATTTCTCAGTACTTTATATGAGTAATATTTAAGGTGCGCTGATTTTCACTATTTTGAGGACACAAAAACTGAGAGAAAATATCAGTACTCACAAAAAAAAGCTTCTTTTCACAATAGGACACATTCAATATTACTCGCATAAAGCAAGGAAAAAGTCTGCAAACATTCAGACAAAAATAAGATTCATGTCTATGCATAGTATTCAGCTAATTTGCAGACTAAATTCTGCATATGTAACAGATTTAATCCACCTCCAAAAAAAGGGAATTGCTTTTAAACTAGAGGCTCTCAAGAGCCTGTGTCGCTCACCTGTATTTACTGATGCTTTGGAAATCATGTAAAATAAGGTTAAAATCATAATTAATAGTATTAGATATTAGATATTATAATGATATCTAAGATAATAAAAAAAAACTGCAAAATGTTTGTAAAATTACTAACTCAGGGGCAGCAACCCAACAACGGGTTGTCGGATTTGTCTGAAAATTTCAGGGCAGATAAATCTAAATTTGATGAACATTTTTGCCACCTGTCAGATTTGCTCTACATGCTTTAGTTTCAGAGATATAAACCAAAAACTGCATTTTACCCTATGTTCTATTTTTAACCAAGTCGGCCATGATGGTTGGAAGGCGGCGTAATCGGACAAATTTTTAAAACTAGATACCCTAATAATGATTATGGCCAAGTATGGTTAAATTTGTCTCAGTAGTTTCAGAGAAGAAGATTTTTGTAAAAGATTGCAAAAATTTACGAAAAATTGTTAAAAATTGACTATTAAGGGCAATAACTCCTAAAGGGGTCGACTGACAATTTTAGTCATGACAACTTATTTGTAGATCTTACTTTGCTGAACATTATTGCTTTTTACAGTTTATCTCTATCTATAATAATATTCAAGATAATAACCAAAAACTGCAAAATTTCCTTAAAATTACCAATTCAGGGGCAGCAACCCAACAACAGGTTGTCAGATTTGTCTGAAAATTTCAGGGCAGATAGATATTGACCTGATAATCAGTTTTACCCTATGTCAGATTTACTCTTAATGCTTTGGTTTCAGAGATATAAGCCAAAATCTACATTTTACCCCTATGTTCTATTTTTAGCCATGGTGGCCATCTTAGTTAGTTGGCGGGGTCATCGGACATATTTTTTAAACTAGATACCCTAATGATGATTGTGGCCAAGATTGGTTAAATTTGGCCCAGAGGTTTCAGAGGAGAAGATTTTTGTAAAAAGCTATAGACGACGACAACGGACGACGGACGCCAAGTGATGAGAAAAGCTCACTTGGCCCTATGGGCCAGGTGAGCTAAAAATGTACTACTTTACCTCTGGCAAAGTTCCTTCTTTTAACTGCCATACTTTGGCAAAAGTATCTTCACTAACAGATAAGATTCTCCCTGTTTCTGGAGCTACATCAATGGCATTCACCCATCTAGCATGGGCATTGACTGTAGCAGCTAACTTGGCTGTCTTGGCACAATAAACTCGTAACTGACCATCACCATATCCTCCAACTATGATATCATTCCACAGTACTAAACTACTGCATGGTACTCTGAAAAGATATATATATATATTTAGACCCCTCTAACAAGAAATTTGTTTTGCATGCACACGTATAAAAATTGCGGTTTTTATTCAATGCAATCATAGGTTTGAACGTTGTTTTCAATTTAGACTTGTTTATATTTATACAAGTCTAAATTGAAAACATATATATATATATATATATATATATATATATTTCTCTCATTCTTTGCCAATTTAACCCTTTCTGAACCAATTGTTAAAATAAAAGAAGAATGTGTCTGAGGACACAACTGCTCCAGCTCAATATTTGAAATTTTCCAAGTTGAAAAGTGGCATAATTCTTAGCATTGTGTATGAGTGTCATAAAATTTGCATGAAGCAAACTTAAGTTAAGAGTGCGGAAACAAAAATGGGATGGACGGCAAGACAGACGGATGGTCAAGGGTAACACTTAATGCCCCTGTTGCCTACTGGAGGACAGGGCATTAAAATTTAATCAATGAGTGATTGCCGATGATCTCAGTAGATAATTGGTTAAGTTAAAAAGTCATAACCTTTCTCAGCTTTCAGGCTAAATGACAGCTTTGATTTGAAATGTGCTAACACGTGTTACAGAAATAGCATTTGACAACTTTATGAAAACTGTCACTACACCGAAATAGTTCTTGTTTTAAATAGTTCTTTCGTAAATGTGTCAATGGATTATCAGATTTATCCACTGGTACCAATGTAAGAATCAAAATATACCAGTTACTAGCTTTATATATATAACAATGAAACCTATCTAACTTGAAGATTTTGATCAGATAAGAGGTTTCTGTCAAAGCATTGAAAAAAAATGCACTGATATACATTCACAGTTCACTTTAGACAGGTAACACTTTACTGATAACTTAAATAGCGTAAATCTCATGAAGGTTTCAGCTCTAACAATTGTCTACTCGTTATGTGCATATTTTTTTTCAACAAAGAACCACAGAACTTCTTTTCTAAAGGCTGCAAACTATCTCTGGTAAACAGGAATCTACTGTAAATTCAGAAATTATTGCGTGCATTTATTACTGCGATTTTGTCATTTTAGACTAAAATGCGATTTTAATTTTTGCGATATTGAGAAAAATCCTTGTTTAATTCATATAAAAAATTTCAAAATGCGAGTTTAAATTATTATGATTATAACCCTGTCGCATTTTTCGCAATAATAAAAACATCGCAATAATTTCTGAATTTAAAGTACTAAAGTAATGTCTATTGAACCAGTTATATTTTTGTAATACTTTGCTTTTTTGAGTTGTACTTGTCTTTTAAAAAATGTTTTAAACTAAAATGAGAAAGGTCAGGCCAAATTCCTAAATAAAATCTTGTCACATTTATACTCTTCCTTACCCTAAGATAGATTCTGTCTGTTTCAGTAAACTTTTAGATTATGTTAATTTCTGTGAACAATTAAGACTTACCCTTTCCCCATGACAGATCCTGTCTGTTTCAATGAACCATTAATACTCACCCCTTCCCCATGACAGATCCTGTCTGTTTCAATGAACCATTATACTCACCCCTTCCCCATGACAGATCCTGTCTGTTTCAATGAACCATTAGGTTGTAATGACCATATAAATATATTGCCTTGTTCATCACTACTGATCAGTTTGTTAGGTCCTGATGTTAAATCACATATTGGATGTTTATGACCTGAAATATAAGTCACAAATTTGTTATATGATAAATGAGTTGTTGAAATATTACCCAAAATATGACAACAAATCTTTACAAATATTGTCCAACCTATACATTATTAGCCCCCCAAAAATTAGTATAATGAGATGACCTATTACAAGGTATTTCAGCTGATAAAATCACAGTACGCAAATTCCACATGTACAGAGTACTCAATTTGCACACATTTTGAAAAGAAAAAAAATGTAGAGGAAATCTAATAGGTCTTCTTAGAGAATAAGTAATTCCCATTTTTATAATTTGCCATTATGCACATCTTTCAACATAGCTAAATATACTCAAAACGGTCACATTGTATTTCAACAAATGAAGTATCCAGTGCAAAAAGTAAAATTTACGGAATCGTTGCATGCGACGTACACAAAAAATATCATTTTCAAACACAAGCAATCAAAATATGTCCCAGGCATTTTTTTTATTACAAAAATCTTAGTAAGCATGGCTTATTGTTAAATAGTCTAAAAATGTGAAGAAATTAAACAAAACACCAGTTATGTGAAGTTAAGCATGTATGAGATTAAGGTACTATGCCTCCTCATCACAATCAAGGTTAATTAGTTGTCTGACAACTGAAATTTTCTTCTTCAGGCGACAGATAAACTATTTTGTACTGGACATTGATCGGTCTATGTAAAGTTACAGTCAAACCTAGGTAAACCGGTAAAACAGAGACTGATGCTACCAAGGGCGATTTGACATATGAGGATACGTAAAAAAAACAGTATAATACTATTTTTTTTGTGTCTGGGTGCAACTGATATCTGAAATTTCTAAAGCCAATTAATACACAATCGTCGATAATACAATGGTAAGCAGGCAGGGACACAAATCATGACATAACTTTTAATAAATAGATTATTACTGTATTTGTCACAAGTCAATAACTTCCTGTCAAACCTGTAACCTGAATAAACTGACGAACTGTCCAAACCTGCTCTTTTTCATAGTCGCATAGATGGTCTGTTCATACAGGTTTTACTTTATTTTCTAAAATTTCACTGGTTTGCATCTAATAAATTTAGTAAATATTATTTAGTATATCAGAAACACACATCAAAATATGATTTGATGATAATTCAAAAAGGTAGTTAAACAGGTTTTAAGCAAAAAAATCATCAAAACCATGTTGTTTGAACTAGTATATGTGTGCACGCAATTGTGCAGGTGTGAGATTTGATTATGCATCCAAATTCTTCAAAAATGCTAAAAATATCATTGATACCTTTATCTAACATTCATTTCAAGTATTTTCTTGCAGAAATAACCTGATAAGAACTACTTAAACTCATTTGTGCTTTGTAATGGTACATGGATTTTAAATATCCATCTCTAGTAATGTGTTTTACCATTTTCAAGTCAACATCTGGTAGTAAGAAAATGTGCTTTAAAAAACAAAAGTGAAGTTTTTGATCGAATAATTTTTGCATTAATAAAGAGTCTAAGGCAGATTTTAATATGCTGATGTTGCACACAATTTTACTCATTTGAATCCATATTCATGCAAACTACTATCTATTCCTTATCTGGTATAGGATATGCATGGGCTTAGCATGTTTATGTCCTTAAAAAGAAAAGAATGTCAACATTGAAAAGTGAAATAAGGCAGCTACTGGGAAGATCACTTTGGTTGACCGATTCTGCTCTAAAAAAATCATTCAAATACAGGTAAAACGGTGATTTAAATATTTTTTAATCATGACATGAAATCAAAAATAGAAAAATCATCATTATGCAATTGCAGGTGCTTGCCTGTGTATTTTTGTTTACATCAAGTCATATGACCTAAGGAATTCTTCGGAGATCAACTTGATGGTTAATTAGACGGCGTCTATTCTAAAAACACACGAAAAGAGGATACATTATGACAACTATATGAATTGTAAATTGTTTCTTTATGATTTATTGTAATTTGGATAGACGTTCGTTCTAGTATGCTATAAATAAAATATGAGATTTTGAGTCGAATTGGTTAATATGAATTTGACAGCTAATGCCACTTTCAACTGCTGATAAGATTTTAAAAATGCATGTATAATGTAAAATTGCTTCTTCTGATTAATGTTCTGAGTAGAATCCATATCTTGCACATTCAAATTCGGAATAGACCTTTATTAGACATAAAATATTTCCTTTTCTTCTTTTTTTTTTACTTTTAAAAGCTGGAAAAAACTTTGCCTTTAGAGAATATAAAATTTATTTGTTACAAAGTTTCACTTACCAACCAAACTTTCTTTCAGCATAATGTTAGTTCCCTTTGCAGGAACATTAAAAACATGAATTTCTCCAATCTGTGTTCCTGTAAAATATTGTACAAATAACCTCTGAGAGTATATATGTTGAACTTGCCTCAAATAAAAATAAACAACTGTAAAAATGAAACTTTAAAGTCTTTAAACAGCAATTTCTGTTGTAAATTCTCACAGCAAAATCCATAAAAAAAATTTCATCTGTCAGAGAAGAATTTGAAACAGTTCATTTCATTCAACCAAAAGATTAAAGATGAACCCATTATCAAATGTAAGAAAACTGCTTCATTTTTTTGGTAAATCATTATTTCTCTAAAAAAATCAATTTAAATAGAACTAGAAAAACTCAAGACCTCACATTAAATTATCCTTCATACTCCCCCATATGTGAAGCTATAGTAAAATTAATGTTTTGTATTGGGAAGCCACATACTCATTTAAATTAATAGATGAAGCACAACAGCAGCAGGTACTCAAACCCTGATCACATATACTGCCCGCTTAAATATATAGGGAGGGGTTCAAAATATAAGCTTTCCAGCACATATATACTTTTGCAGGATAAAAATATAACCTTAAAACACAAATAATACTACCAGGGGATAAAACTATAACCTTACCAAAACATATAAAACTATCTCCATAAAAATATAACCTTGCTAACACATATAAAACTACCAGGGGATAAAAATATAACCTTACCAACACATATAAAACTATCTCCAACTCCAGCAATACCTCTTCCATAATTGGTTTGATCTGAATAATAAAATATATTACAATGTATGAAGATCCTGACAATATAAATAAGAAGACATGGTATGAGTGCCAATGAGACAACTCTCCATCCAAGTCACCATGTATAAAAAGTTAACAATTATAGGTCAAAGTACGGCCTTCAACACAGAGCCTTGGCTCACACCGAACAGCAAGCTATAAAGGGCCCCAAAATGACTAGTGTAAAACAATTCAAACAGGAAAACCAACGGTCTAATCTGTATAAAAAACCAGAAATGAGAAACAACTATTTAAATACATATATGTGTTCAATGATAAACAAGTTCTTTAAAATGCTTTTCAAAGTAAGTTTTAGCTGTTACAATGTAGTGAATTGACTATATTTATATTTGCAGTGTGTTTTGTAGGGAAGCAAAAGACATCAATTTTAGATTCTTTGGCATGTCCTGGTACAAAAATGCAAATTGTATACATAAATGACAGGATAGGCTAAGGGCCTTATTTTGCCTAATTTTTAATGCAAAATCTAAACTTTTAAATTTCAGGTTTCCATGTACACATGTATATCTTTTTTCTAGATGCCAGGAAACAAAACTTTAAACTAAAAACAGACAAATTAGGATCCATGATGTCACAAAAATCACATGCTATTGTAATAACAGCAATATTTCATTCTTCAGTCTAATAGGTCCCTTAGAGTACATCATCCGTTCTACAGAACAAAATTATTATTATATTTACATTCATAGAATTATACTGAAAAAAAATGTTCTCAATATTTTAAAACCTCTAAAATCTCTACATTTTACTTACCTTGTGTATCAGAACTGCTAGGATCACCTAATGCATGCCAATAAATCATAGCCGATCCATCTGATTCAAACATCTACAAAATTAAAATTTGTATAAAGAAGTTTGTAAATATTTTACATTCAATTATGTATATAAATATTATATAGTAGGTCAAAACGATTATTTGCAACTCATTTCATGGTCCAGTGATCATATTAAAGGTGTCAATACTTAAGATTTAATAACTTTGGAATCAACAGTTGAAGAAATGATAAAAACTAACTGTTTATCTACCAGAGGATATTTGTTTAAATTTTCTGTGTTGTATCTGTGTTTTTTTTTCAGTGACTGTGTTGTTTCTAAGGTCTGGTCTATCCTATTTCTGGAAAAACTCTTTTCATTTTAAAGGTTCAGGCTCCTATAAAGTTAAAACATACATGATATCCAGGGAAGGCACTTTAAAAATTGGGTAACCACCTATAGAGGCAAATTAAAATTTCACTTACATTTCCACTTTGCAAAAACAAAGATGACACCCACCCATAGTTGAGATTTGGAAGTGCCTTCCCTGGGTCCCATGTTATTTTATATGGAACAGCCCTAATGTTTAAGATATTTACCAATCCATCATTTTGTGATAATTCTAACATGGTGACAACACCATAAATGTTTCATCAACGGATTTAAACAGACATAACCACTACAGGTGTCTGACCTTGTGGCACACATGAATCAACCTCCAGTTTTTAGCCAGGTTCTTATTTCTCAGTCTTTGACTCTTTTTTGTACGGAATGTTGACAAAAAGCAATTCACAGGATCAAAATTTATAGTGTTATTTTTTTTAAAGCTTTTTTTTACATCTAACCCCCTTGTTTTATTAATTTTGTATTTACATTGTGTCATAGATCAAATTTATTCGTTCAGTGTATGTTCACTTGTTTTTGTTAATATGTCTTTTGAACGAGTTAAACCATTTCAATTGATATATTATAGTGTGTCTTTCTATGTTGTAATGTTACAATATTGTTTCAGGTAGGGTGAAGGTTGGCGCCTATTAAAACGTTTAAACCTGCTGCATTTGTTTGCACGTGTCCTAAGTCAGGAACCTGATGTTCAGTGGTTGTTGTTTGTTGATGTGGTTCATAAGTGTTTCTCGTTTCTCATTTTTTATATAGATTAGACCGTTGGTTTTCCTGTTTGAATGGTTTTACACTAGTCATTTTTGGGGACCTTTATAGCTTGCTTTCGGTGTGAGCCAAGGCTCCGTGTTGAAGGTAGTACTTTGACCTATAACGGTTTACCTTTACAAATTGTGACTTGGATGGAGAGTTGTCTATTGCACTCATACCACATCTTCTTATCTCTATTTATTTGCTGCCTAGATATCAGTATACCCTTTTTATAGTGTAATATTTGTTTACCTTGTACATAAATGACATATTTATTTTTATATTTACGTGTACATGTTTTTGTAAAATACATTTTCTTGAATATATCATGATATTACAGCTTCATGAATGAGTTGTTGTCTCACAGACATATTCCATGGAATCCCTAAAGTTCATGTACATTTGTATTCATTTACATGTACATATAACAGCTTGCATAACTTACTTGTATGCCCCTTAAAGATGTAAGGACTAGTACTGTTCTGTTAGGTAAACTTATCCATTTTGCCTAAAAATAAAAACACATAAAATTAAATTATTGGTAGTTTTGGAATGTAAATCGAAGTGTTTCTTTGGAAAATTTTAAGATATTTTTGTGTATATGGCCACCATTTGTTGATGCATTAAAAGTTACAAAAGAAAATACACCAAGACAATTCATAAATTTTATGTTCAGAAACATAAGCAATAATTCTACAAGAAATCAATATTTGACATGATAGTTCTTTTCCAGCAATAAAAGCATTGATATCCTGAAAAAATGCATCTGTCATGCCTGTAAAATAACTCCAAGCACTCCATCCGGTTTAACTTTTTTTAGACTTGGATTGATTGACATATTGTATAGACAACTGTCTCTTTGTCACAAGAATCTTGTGTTGACCTTTAGATAATTTTGGTTAAATTGTTAGATTTCTGTCTCATAAAATTTGATGTAAACATATACCCTACATATTATTTATTCACGTCTAGGATTATTTAAGGTGAGTCCATGGACTCATTTCTTTTTGAAAGGAATGAGTCCCAGCTGATTTTTATGTGTCCAGTGTAAATTAATTCAAAAAGTTATAATCTGTGTGTTCTAGTTGGGATTCCTCCGATAGCATGATCTTAGTGAACAGAATTTAAACTCTGGATTAATCAGATTAATAGTAATTTTTGTAAATAATAAATTAACAAACAAATCTTTTGCAACCCCAGAGCTTTTTTGTTTCATGATGTTAATTTGTTTGATGGTGATGCTATTTAAAATGGTTTCTTTTGGATGTACTGCTACATGTACAAATGTACATGTATACATTGTAGAAAATTTCTAAAAAATACCTTTTTACCAGGTTGGTGTATGAAATTTATAGGAAGAACAATCTGAATTCAATAGCATACACATTGTACTAATGCAACTTTTGAAAAGTACATTGAATTCAGTCAAAATTCCATATATTATCACACACGAATGCACAGAAACCATGCAATAGATCTAGAGATGAACAAATACCAATGCTTTTGTTTTGGATGAATCAAATTAACATGGAACTAATTTTTAACTTCACAATTTTTTTTTCTTAGTTTAACAGTAAACACTGTATTCAGCATTTTGCCTTTTTAACAATAAAGTTCATTATAATGCATCAACTAATGTAAATTAAATTGAAAACATTAGAAAAAAAAAGTGAATATAAGATAACTTGTCATGCTTGTGATTGATTCTTTAAATTTAACAGCTCATCATGACATTACAAAGATGATACATGTAGGTATGACATGGTATATCCAGAGTTCTCGAAATCTTTCTTTCCCTGCTGGTCCTCACTATTATTTCTATTGCAAAATACCAAAATTGTGTCAGCCCATTGAAAATTTTGGTGGTAAAAACCTGTAGACTCCCACTTTTCAACAACTCATGGATCATATCATACATTATACCGGATGGATGGCTGTATGACATCCAGTGGAAAATTACAGGCATATTCAGGACAAGATGATAATGAAATACGAGTATAAACCCTGCTTTGTACTAGACCAAAACACTGAGCCAGATTTTGTATGTGCTATTTCACAAGGCCCATTTGGTTTTTAAGGGCGTCTAAATTTGCAGCCATATTCCCGTAAGAATGTGGCTACAATCTGATGCCTCCTGTAGAGAGAGTGCCATGTGCTGTTAAGAACCCTCGCTTCAACTCTTTGAGGTGTTGGCCATAAGTGGCCTGTTGCAAGGCTAAAATTCAGTCCCTATCAAATCTGGGACTATTATACTAATGGGACTTGAAACTGATCGATCTGTTGAGATTTTATTGCCCAGATAGCGGATTATTGATTTTTTGTTTTGATTGACAGCTTATCGTGTCACGTACATTCGGAACATGAATGTAAACAATAGACTTCAGCAAACAAGTCAGCATATATATAATACTGTTAATAAGTAGTCAAAATATTAGTGTTGAAAATAAGCCAGATATAGTCAAAATGCCGGCGCTTTACTTGACCGCTAAGAAAACAACGTGTCAAAGGTTAACAGATCATAATTAATCCTAAAAACAATAAATGTGCAATAAAAACAATGTTTACAACTTCAGTTCATAATTTATTCATATAACAAAAGTTACCCGGGTCTCATAAAGATATAGCCACATTGTTTTGAACTTTTGTGAACTTCGTGTTTACATCAATATTTCAATATGGCTGTGAACGGGCCTACTTTTGTATGTCTAATTATGGAACCTAGTGTACATATTTTCACGAAGTCATATGCTAATGCCACCAGAAGACCATTACTAAACTAAATTAACCCTGATTATAATAAAAATATTGCACACATAAAAAGGAGTAGGTAATTTTATAGGAACAGTATAATTTATTTGAGCCGTGCATGTGGGTTCTGGTTGTAATGAGAAAGAGATTTATATTCCACTTTTTATTTAAAAAAGTGACAATAAAAATAGGCAAATCCAAACTATAACCTATAAATATGATTTTACAACAAACCGAACTTGCGTACATGTATCTCTTTTCAATCAACAGTTATAAGAAATTTTATGAATCATATACTTTTTTCCACATCGTCCCCACGCTATTTTCATCCTGAAAATTTCAATCTTTATGTGTCATTTTTTACACTTAAGCAGGGCCTAATCTAGGATTTTGAAGAGGGAGAAGTGACTTCTCCTTCCATGAGAGAGAAGGGAGAAGTGGTCAACTTCTTGGAGAAGTGAGATTCCATTACCCTTTCGGTTAAGACAGGATTTGGTGATTAATAACAACTGTCAAAGATTGAGATATCTTTTATCATTATAGTAATCATGTTTATATTAAGCAGTGCTCCAGCTAGAAATTGAAAGGGGCAGGGTGCCAGTGGAGGGCAGGGCACTTTTTTTAGGAATTTAGGAAAAGGCACTGCTCATTTTTTTGTCTACGTTTCTGTGTGTATCACGAGTTCACATTGTTTTTTTACTGTATATGTTGACAATAAAGATAATAAGTTGTTGTTTTGATTATTTATTCTATAAAATTTGCATTAGAAAAGTCATTCATACTACAATAACATGTTCATAATACATGGCAATACACGTTCATACATCACATCACTATTAACCAAAAGAGTCAAAATAACTATAACTATAACCCCCCCTCCAAAAAATAACAGCATAAACTAAACATCTCATATTTTAGAGTTGTCTCATTTAAAATTTTCAGCTAGAGTTTGGACCTCTCAACTTTTTTTCATTGTTCCTGTCAATGAATTATTTAGTATAACTTCATCCAATTAACTTGTAATGATAGTTCAGCTAGTCCTAACTCGATTTTTGTAGGATTACAGCTTAACAACTTTCACCAGATATAATTATAATCTAAATTGACAATGTCTAGATAGAACATGGATTGATAAAAGTATGATTATCAAAAATGAATTGCAATATATTTTTTTTGGTATGTTCAAAGACAGTTTTGATCTTTAAGGCCAAAAAAAAATATATGTCTGTTTACAGTTACCCGACCGACCCTACTTTTGAGCGCCGACCCTAAGTCATTTTATTTCCGTCGTAAAGTGAAAAATAAACTGAACTCGTGTCAAAAGCGAAGTTAGTGTTGCAAATGATATAAATCAATTGCCTGATACATCCCAATGTTCACAATCGTGAATATGACAGCTGTTTTAAGGAAATTCGCAAATCGTGTGATGAAATAAACACTTTGCTGCCATTTTTTTCCAAGGGAAATAATCCAATCATCAAAAATACGGGTAAACTCGTCCCATGATCAACTCGGACCACGACAAGTCGAAACGGCATGACTCAAAATCATGTCACAAAAAATTAAATGAAAAAATAAAATAAAATGGAAATACCGACCTACCTACCCTATTTTTTTAAAGTATGTAACCTTAAACAGACATATATTTTTTTTTGGCCTTAGGTAACATTCTTATATAATTTTGTATTTAATTGGTACTTTATTCCTATTTTCAAAGATAGATAATATTTTAGTAGCACAAATTTGTTATAAGCTAAAACAGGGGAAGTAACTCCAAAATTAATTTCCAACAAGTTTACGATGAAGTTGAGATGGACGGCGTTCTGAGAAGGCATAGTTGTATTATGATGACTTGAATTCTATACTAAAGTCATGAAAGTCTTCATTTTTACACTCTTCCATTGGGACTTGGAGATCGAAAATGCCGACCCAAGCTTAAAACACTCGCCAACACATTCATCAATTTATATTCAATTTGACAAGGTACATTGTCTTAATTAAATTACCTAGTTATTTTAAAACACCTTTGAAGTCTAATCAAAAAGTAAAATCACAAAAATACTGAACTCCGAGGAAAATTCAAAAAGGAAAGACCCCAATCAACTGAAATTGATTTTAATGACATGATTAACCTGGGGGCAATCACCAGGTGTCATATATGTAATTTAACTTTGTGATTAGAAATCGATGAGACAAAAACCAATTTTTCCAGTACATTGCCAAAACGGCACAAGGTTTTTTTTGGGAAAAGGCGTCAGGGCAGAAGGGCGCAGATGAGGGCACACAGGGCGCGGCTGAGGGCACCCAGGGCGCGGCGCCCTTCTATTTTGGGCTAACGAGACCACTGTTAAGGATTATCATTTCCAATAACTATAAAAGAAAAAAATAAATTACCGAAATTATAAGATCAAGGCAGGCTGTCACTGTCAAAACAATATGGCGTATTGATAAATAGCACAGGTAAAGTCTCGTTCTAACGACCGTGGTGTTGATATTATTACACTGATTGGTGTAACGGTTTCCAGTCCCGTTAGTAAAATAGTCCCAGATCAAATTAATCCTCATTTTCTTGCCCTTCATCCAAGTCGACCCTGTTAACGAGACCTAACTCATGCTAATTTGTTCCCTTCTGAAATATTTACAACTGGACGTGAAGCAAGAAACATAAATTTGGGCGATTTATACCCCTTTTCAACCTGGCATAAATATGCCAAAATCACTAGCCTTTCCCCACATTTATGAACTATTATATATTACTCTTTCAGGTATTGGCTTTGTTATTTTAAATTTTTATAAAAATGATAATTTGTTCATGCCTGTATAACCATAGGTGTGTTCTGTTGAACGGCTGATGGTTCTTTGCAGACTACTTGACGATTGGTGACTGTGGAGCCATCAAGTGACGAAGAAATTACATTAACTACAGATTTATGTACGACAGCATAACTCATGGAACCTTTTTCTGGACTTATGAACACTGTAAGATTGTTAGTTAAAGAAGAAGCACTGCTTTTTAAAGGTAATGGTTTTTCTTTTCGATACATTTTTTTCTCCTGATGATCTTCCGGTTGCTCGGTACGCTGCGCTTGCGCAATCTGTAACCTGAAGAAAAATATTTAGAACAAAATCGGACTTTTTCCCGGGGCTTTTCCTGGATTAACTAAAAAAAAAATTAATTAAAGGCCAAGGACTGGATGTATAATACTAATACAAAAGACTTATAATGCCATAATGGTTTAATCATATCTCTCAACTTTTACCGAAAAGATGGAAAATATGAACGAGAAAGCGATTCCAGCTAGAATTCAGAATATGCATAGGCCTACTATATTCTTATATATACATGTGTATCTCTTTTTTTGGGAGCTCTCAAAGGTCCAACATGACGCAAAGAACCTATTTTGTCCAGTTTTATACGAAAACAAAACTAATTCAGTACAGCATTTCATATCTTTAGATTTCCTTCAAATATTGTCACCCGCGCTATTTTTGCGTTTTCTTAGTGATATTGTCCAGTAAAAAGTAAAGTAAGTAAATTTTATTTAGAGTCGGGCATGATATGTACAAATTAACACAGTAAACATAAGCTCTGTAGTGCTCTTAACCCACTTGATATTTAAAAAACAAACAACAAATTATATAAGCACATTTGACAGAATACACAGCACACATAAAAATAAAACACATGCATAATATAATAGATAAGCAACTTGAGCAAGCTAAAATAAAAAAGAAAAGCACATTCTGCAATAACTGGCACAGAGACAAAAGCACTATCAAATAATTGAAATAAAAGCAAACAATAAACAGAACACTGAGGACTAGAAGACTTCAGCTGTGGGACAGCAAAGTTATTGTTAACATGACTCGCTACAGACGCAGTTATCTGAAGAACACCATGTTGAAATAAAATGTTTGAATACGGATATCTGAGGGTAGTACGAAATCGAAATCACTTTATACCAAAAGAGAAGTGTTTCTTATTTCTCCAGAGAACTGAATTATAACAGGATGTCCGGTAAAATCCATGCATTGCCCTGCAATTCGTATGTTTTGCGATGTCATCGTATATGATATTACATTTTAGAATTGTTGTCGAAGACTGGAATGACTACACAAAAGTACGACGAGAAGATTATTACGAGAGACGTAACATAATCCATAGTTTGCTATTTTCCTATCAAAACTAGCAAATATAATGGGAAATAAAAGAGATTGTGACTCTCCGAACATGGGTAAATTCTCCCCTTTTTCCCGGGCAATCAATTTTTACCTACTTCATATTTTTTTTTAAAAACTTTAATCTCCAACAATCCGATTAGAGTGAGTTTTGTTATCAAAATCAGATTTTAAAGGTACGTCTGCATTTTCCCTAAAAAGGACAACACTTACATTTCGACTTTATATAGATTTTTCCAACGATTCTATCTTCATCAATCGAAGATAAAATGTTTCCAGCTGTAATTTTTAAGAGCTTGTGAATGTCTTGGAAAGTGATTGGATTTAATTGATTGTCGGTTGCTTAACGTGCAGTGGCAAATATTTCATGCATGTTCAGGACGAGAATAACTTTAACAATACATGATCATACAAACGATAAGTAGATCCTGTAATAGAGGTCACTGACGGGATGAAAGGCGGGAAATTTGGACTGCCACTGGAAAATGAGCGAAAAACGGATAAGGACAGAAATTTAAGAGTTGTTGCAAGGGTTCTTAACTAGCAGAGAGCGTGGCACTCTTTTTACACGAGGCATCGGATGTAACGCCCCCATTCTGAACGGACGTGGCTGCGTCATTATACATCCCGCAAAGCCAAACGGACGCCCAACTTGGGCAAGGGTTTTATTGCCTGTCGGAAAAAGTCCTAAGTGACAATATTTCTATTCCCAATCACCCTTTTGGGTTCATTTCGTGTTGGAACGATTAGTGAAATAACAATGGAATTTATTTCTTGGTGAGACTTAACTTTTTCTGTTTAGTATATACATCGTATCAATAAACGGTGTGCTCTTGATTATGGAGTACGGTAGAGTTGTCTCGCTTTGTGTAGAGAGTCGGAACATTTAACAGACGTATACTTTTTTGTTTCGAACATTATCTACCGTAATTCCCTATAATTCTTCTAAATATAAATATTCAATCTATAGGAAAAATTTATAAGAACGTGAAAAAACTGAATTATGCATAATCGCTTTTATATTTATTAAACATAACTTTATACCCATTTTTCATTTGGACCGTACCATTAAATAGTTAATATGGGGTTAAGGAGTGCAGTCTTCATGGTCTAATCATTATTTTCCAATATGATGATGTCAGATTTAGTTAGGTACATGCAAGATGAAGCATTGTAACTAAACTAATTGATAGAAGTATCCACTGAATGCATCCTGCATTATTGCCAGATATCCGTGACACAACCATTCAAGAATTTCTGCTCATTGTGTCAGGCATATCTGTCCATTCACATTGTAAACGAAGGTGTATAAGACAATCATTCATAATATGCACTTGATCATAATTTATTATTCAGCTACCGGTATCCTAATATCTGCAGTTCGTTGACTTAATACAAAAAAGATTAAAAAAAAATTATAAATACATGAATAACAGTTTTCACATGATGTATTATGTCAGTATACTTATATTTATATTTCGCTTATATCGCTTCTTTTTTATAATTCACAATATCTACATATTGTCACAACTAGATATCCAAGAAATTTTTTTTTTATTATTATTATGAACTATAAGCAATCATAGTATTTGTTTAATACTTTATTATCTTCAACGTCGTTAGTTACATGTACTTGAAAACGCGAGTGTGAATCCATATATGTTTTATAAAATTCCACTGGATGAATTTGGGGATTTAAATTTGAAAAGACAAAGCATTTTACATTTGTATAAGACTAATAATTGTTGCAATTGAAGGTCCATGGTAGTCCACATGACAATGACATTACAATAGTATTGAAAATCAAAGTAACACAATACAACTATACATCTTATTCAGACCAGAGTTGTATAGATGCAAGAGAGTTCCAGAACCACAAATGAGGTAACAATAACCATTGTAGGTCTATACTAATTATACATTTCGTCTAACATCTAGACATTTATTAATATATAATTAACTAATATTTCAGTGCCGACAGATTTTCATTAGTAAATAAGCAGATACATTTTGCATCATTTGAGAGGTCTGAAAATTCTGACATATATTACTGTTTACCTGATGCCCTGTCACTCAATTACTAGCATTTCAACGAGTGTTTGTATTTCATAAATCACAGAGAAACTAGAAGGTCTGCTTCATATCTTTATCTTTAGTTCCCTAGATACTGACACAGATTAACGAATCCCATGATGACAAAAACTCACTAAGAAAACAAGGCTTATGATTTGGTGACAAACTTCATGATTCCAATTTCATTTGTCGACCCACTTCATTAACATGAGTGCGCTCCTAACCAAAAAAAAAACTACTCCAACAGAGTTATAAGGAAAGCGATTGAAATCAGCACTAGTCTACTTAAGGTTCACGGTAACCATCACGAATTGGTTGACCGTGTGTCTCAAGTAACTAGCGTCATGTTTTCGCGATTTTTAATTTTTAGAAACCGTATTGGTTACCTGATTTTTAAACTTATCGATTGTGATAATTCTACTGAGTGTGGATTCGCATGGCGGGTGATGCATACATATCAGGAGACGCTTACCCTGTCGACGCACCCAATCTCTCTCCTTCTTGAAGTTCATGCAAGTACCTCAAGTTTTTGTTTTATCTTGAGTTGTATCTCCTTAATGGATTTATGTGATTTGAAAATCGGTAAACTACCCTTGCCTCTAATTAACCTCTTCGTAGTATATTTCCTTACTATTTTGTATACTCGACAACTTTACTAGTCAAATGAAATTCATCTTCAGTTATAGATTGAGATAATATATAAAAAAAATTATGAAGATGAGGTATGATTGCCAACAAAACAACACTCCAGAGACTACAAATGATGTAGAAGTTTTACTAAGTCTTTAATGTATTGCGACTTAAAATTCATATATCTGTCTCTTTCTATTTTTTATAATATTTTCTTATCGAAGACTTAGGATAGTTTTTTCATTGATTCTCCGTCCTGACATTTCTCTCTATATGTTGCCATACACAAATGCATTTTTACGAGAAAAAAAAATTTATTTATTTAAATCAGATTGTCATTGTGTGTATTTTTTGTTTGGTGGTTCATAATGGCGATATTCATGATCTCTATTCCTAATGTTTCTTTATCAAATCCATCCGCTTAAAAAAATTATTATACGTCTTCAAAATCTCTCAACATTTTGCACTAATCTAAAATAATACCAGTAGTCTATTATTATGTGAAAGGGTACAGCTTTGTAAAACCATTCGTGAAATAAGTTTATAATACTTTCGCCAAAATCTAAATACCAAAATCGGGCATGTGCGGCATATAATTTTTCAGAAAGAACGATAAGGTATAGATATTGGGGATTTTTGTTCTGAAATTGAGTTGATCGAAGCATTGTTGTTTGAAGAACTGGAATTTTATTGAATTAATATCTTCTATACAAGCCCCAGTTCTATTTTTCTAGACAAGATAAGACAATATACTTCTACGAGGAAAAAAATGATTTAGACTGTTAGTATATATTTAATGTATTTCTTCACAGTATCTCTGTATTTTCTTTCAAAGTAGGCATGACCATTCCTCTTTTTTTTTGAACAACCGGCCCCTTCATGAAATCTTGTGTATAAGCATGCTAAACAAACCTTGAATCACGTCCACTAAAACGCCAATAGTTGTGAGACCTGTCCGCTGGGTTGAGTAAATTAAATATCAAGCACAAATGAAAAAAAGCTAAAGTGTATTTATATAATTATGTAGTAAATGTGTTGAACAACCCAATTACACTAGGTAATAAAAAATGGGTCACTATATATGGGTTTTTTCAACTACATACAAGCAAATACATCGCATGCAAGCTTTATGATTATACAATTTGTGAAAGAATCAACGGAGACAATGATGTATCTGACAACACACCCTACTTCCCATAAAAGTGCGA